GGAGCCCCCGCGCCCCAGCAGCCTGAGGTCGCTCCGGGTGCAACTGCGAGCGGAGCGCACGGCCGCGGGCAGGAGTCGGCGAGGCCGCCGGCCGGGCGTCGCCGGGCGCCGGTTTCCAGGCAACGCGCTCGGGCAGAAGCCAGCAGTTTAATAAGAGTCCCGGGGGAAGCCCCGGCAGCACCCGGGCCGCGGGCTGCCTGAAGCCCCCACCCCCGGTGCTGCCGACCTCGCGAGACCCGGAGGCTGGGTCTGCGTTCCCCACTCTCACCTCCCGTTCCCCAGTTTTCCGCGTTGGCTCCCCTCTAGTCACTTCGCACTTTTGACATCCCCATTCGGAGAAACAGCCTGAGAACCTCCTCACCTGGAGCAACAAAAACTATCGCAGCCTCACATCCCATAGAGAACTGATTCCTGGGAAGTGTAGTTCTCTCCGACGTCAGGAAGTGAGTCCTTAAGAAAAAAAGGACTACAATTCCCAGAAATCTAAGGGAGGACGGTCCGTGTCTGAAACTCGTCCCAGTTGCTTGCATTGTATTCGACGGGAAGGTTCTGTGGCTCTTTGCTTACCTAACTACCTGGAGTTTGCTAATTCAGTCCCACGACAGACTTGTGGGAGAACTTTTTTTTAAAACATGCTTTCTGCATGTGAGGGGTAAACACACTGATTTATATAAAGAGATGTAGTAAGTTAAATTTTTTTTTAATTCTTTCAGATAAAAGATCTATCCACCATCAGAAAACATGTCACTACAGATGATTACAGTCAGTAATAACGTAGCCTTAATTCAACCGGGCTTCTCACTAATGAATTTCGATGGGCAAGTTTTCTTCTTTGGCCAAAAAGGCTGGCCCAAGAGGTCCTGCCCCACCGGAGTCTTCCATTTTGATGTAAAACATAACCATCTGAAGCTGAAGCCTGCCGTTTTCTCTAAGGATTCCTGCTACCTCCCTCCCCTTCGCTACCCAGCCACTTGCACATTCAGAGATGGTTTGGATTCTGAAAAGCAGCAATACATTATCCATGGAGGGAAAACACCAAACAATGAGCTCTCGGATAAGATTTATGTCATGTCTGTCGTGAGCAAGAACAACAAAAAAGTTACTTTTCGCTGCACTGAGAAAGACTTGGTAGGAGACGTTCCCGAAGCCAGGTACGGTCACTCCATTGACGTGGTGTACAGCCGAGGGAGGAGCATGGGTGTCGTCTTCGGAGGACGATCGTACATATCCTCCGCCCAGAGGACCACAGAGAAATGGAACAGCGTAGCTGACTGCCTGCCCCACGTTTTCTTGGTGGATTTTGAATTTGGGTGTTCTACAGCCTACAGCCTCCCAGAACTTCAGGATGGGCTATCTTTTCATGTCTCCATCTCCAGAAATGATACCATTTATATTTTAGGAGGACATTCACTTGCCAATAACATCCGCCCTGCCAACCTCTACAGAATAAGGGTTGATCTCCCCCTGGGTAGCCCAGCTGTGAACTGCACAGTTTTGCCAGGAGGAATCTCTGTGTCCAGTGCAATCCTGACTCAGACAAGCAGTGATGAATTTGTTCTTGTGGGTGGCTATCAGCTTGACAATCAAAAAAGAATGGTCTGCAACGTCATCTCTTTTGAAGACAACAAGATAGAAATTCGTGAGATGGAGACCCCAGATTGGACCCCAGATATTAAGCACAGCAAGATATGGTTTGGAAACAGCATGGGAAGTGGAACTGTCTTCCTTGGTATCCCAGGAGACAATAAACAGGCTGTTTCAGAAACATACTATTTCTACATGTTGAAATGTGCTGAAGACGACCTGAATGAAGAGCAGAAAACACTCACAAATAGTCAGACGTCCACCGAAGACCCAGGGGACTCCACTCCCTTTGAAGACTCAGAAGAATTCTGTTTCAGTGCAGAAGCTACTAGTTTCGACGGTGACGATGAATTTGACACCTATAATGAAGACGACGAGGAAGATGAGTCTGTCACCGGCTACTGGATTACATGCTGCTCTGCGTGTGATGTGGACATCAACACGTGGGTACCGTTCTATTCAACGGAGCTCAACAAACCGGCCATGATCTATTGCTCTCACGGAGACGGGCACTGGGTCCACGCCCAGTGCATGGACCTGGCCGAACGCACGCTCATCCAGCTGTCAGAAGGAAGCAACAAGTATTACTGCAATGACCACGTGCAGATAGCGAGAGCATTGCACACCCCAAAACGGGCTCTGCCCTTGAAAAAGCCTCCCCTGAAATCCCTCCACAAGAAGGGTTCTGGGAAGATTCTTACTCCTGCCAAGAAATCTTTTCTTAGAAGGTTGTTCGATTAGTTTCGCAAAAGCCTCTGGATTCAAGTGTATCAAATTTTTAAACCTGTTTTAAAGAATCGTCGCCTGGCCGGGCGTGGCTCAGCGGTTGAGCGTCGTCGACTTAGGATCCAGGCAATAGGGGTTCGATTCCCGGTCAGGGCACAAGCCCGGATTGTGGGCTGCAGCCGATCAGTGACTCTCTCATCATTGATGTTTCTGTCTCTCTCTCTCTCTCCTTTCCTCTCTCTGAAATCAATAAAGATATTTAAAAAAAAAAAAAAAAAGAATCATAACAATGATAAAATTATATTCCTATTTTCATTTATTGAAAATGTTTGCGTTTTGGTTAGATGAATTCAGTGCCAGTATAAAGTGCTTATAATACAATGCTAAATACTTGAAAATATTTTACTCAAAGGTACCTTAAATGAAAATTTCTGATCTGAATTTTTTCATCCAAGGAATCTTAAATACAGAAGTAGTAATAATAAGGTAGATAGACTCCACTGACATGAATAAATAGAAAAGGAATCTGCATCGTTTGTTACATTTTTATCAAGCTATCTGTTCACACTGTCTTCGAAGGATCCCCCATCATATGGTGAACAAATGATGAACCAAAGCCGGTCGCTCGAACTGATTCTCCGAGAGATTTAGTGAAAACAAGTCCACTGACGCTCAGCACTCTGAAAAAGGAAAGCAAGTGAGCACACACCAAAAAAAGGGACCAAAAAATAAATCTCACAGAGAATAATTGTATTATTTCCCTGAATAATGAAAGTTTAAAGGATTCCCTACAGTTAACAGGTAGAAGATTTCAGACAGGGGAAAATAAATTTGTGTATATGTCTAGTTAACATGGGGAGGTTGCTGCCAGTGAAAATTATAAAATTGGTGAGCTTGCTAAGGTTCCATTAAATACTTTCTAGAATGAAACGTAAAAGGACTGTTAATTTTGAGGCTTTGAGACATCAGTTGATAATTAGATGACCTTAGAAACAAGTATCTTCCCCCCTGAAGTGTTTTTCTGGAAAAGCATTTTACCTGATCCCAGGAGCCTAAGCCATAGCCTCTTACCCACCAGTCTTCCCTGAGAGCCCACAGTGTGTAGGATATTATTGCAAAATTTAGAAAAACATGAACCGTACAAAAGATAAAACCCTGGAACCCAAGTTCTTCCGCTAACAGTTCCATGTCTTAGATTCTAAAATTAACTTGAATAAATTCAATTATGTTCAATATGTTCCAGGAATGTTGTTTGGTGAATATGCCTTTTGAACAATTTGCATTGTTTTGATTTTGTTGTTGTTTCTGTCACCTACATGAAACTAATAAAATATTAAAATGCCTTCTGTTTATATTGACTTACTCCAATTATTAACATTCACAGTTACCCTTAATTAAGGGAAAAGTTATACTATTTAATTTTCTCAGGATCCATGTAATTTCTTTTCTATCTATGAGTAGAAACTGGCATAAGTTAGAGCTGAAATATCCTTCCCAGTTCCAAAGAATGATTCCTCCTGGAGATATGTTAAGGCAGGAAATCATTCAAACCCATGAAGGGTTTTTGCGAGTTTGTTTGATCCAAACTGTCGACAATTGCTGGGCTGAGATAATGCTCCGGAGAATGGCAGTTTTGCACTTTGTTTTATACATTACAATCAAAAGAGGAGACATAAGTGGGCTACATGAAATTCATTGGTGACAGATTAGGGAGGTGGGAGAAGGCAAAGGGGGGGGCCTCTGGCATTGGATAAAATGTAAAATGATAGACACACAGTCCTTTTACTTAGGTGGGTGCAGGATAGTTAACAGTCGACAGTTAACTCAATAACAATGAGGGGATTTGTGGTCTCCAAAGAGCAGAGCCTGTGCTTTGGGGGGGGGGGGAGAAAAATTACTTTGACTTTGACATTCCAATGATATGTTATTTAGATGCAAAAAGACAACAGGCTTAGTTAGGGTGAAATATAACCTTTGTTAAGGAAGATACCAGCCTAGGACCTGACTACCCAAAATAAATGGGTCTTTAGTTAAAAGGTTTTCATTTCAGGCCGGCCTTTGTGGTTATGTTAGGTCTCTGAATTTGCAAGGCTGCCATGCGGGCTTTCCCTGAGTTTGTCAGGTTTAGCATGTGGCCCCTTTCATCCACAGGTAGGTAAATACCCTTATCTTAATTTGTTTACAGTGACTGAGTAACTAAAAAATTATTACCATATTTGTTTTTTAGTCAATGAGATCAAGATACGATAATCCAAGTGATTTAATTCTGAACTCGCTGGACTCCATAATCAAGCTGAGCTCTCATCAGCATAGCTGCTTTTGGAGTGTACTGGTGTGGGAGTGGGGGAGGCAGGGGGTAATGTGTTTCAGGAGCAGTACTTTGGTTTCACTTACCATATATTTGAGTAAAAATAGGACTTTTTAAGTCATCTCACCAGTGAGTTCATCAGGCGCAACTTTAAGGTGACGAGGCTTCTTTTCTGCTAAGCATGCGCAAACATCCAAATGAACCACTTAGAAGGAGAGCGCTCATCTTCCCAACAACGCACGGCTTTGGCCTAAGACATTCCTAGGCTCACGGTTCAGTCACTTTCAGAGCCTATGGCTCATTCCTTTGAAGATATCTAACAGTTGTTCCTACCCCTTCCTTAGAGATGGAGTTGGTTTCTGGAAACCAGCGCTGTCCCCGGCCTAGTATGGTGGAATTCTCAGGATTATATCACCACTTTAGGTCAAAAGGAAATCAGAGTACAAGCTAACACAGTGGATTTTATAATTTGGCTCATTAATGGGTTCTAAGGTAAGTCCCAAACTGTTTCCACAAGAATAATATCAATAAAAAGTATAAGGCATTTCAAGGCGACTGTTTTAAGGGACTACACTCATCTACAAGTGAGTTTAATATATTAGGAGAAGAGAAAGAGTAATTAGAAAGAAATCGTTGGTCTAAAAGTTCTGGGGTGAGATGAGCGTGTTGTCAGGAGGTTAGTCTGCTCAAAACACAGCCAGCAAGGGGGTGGGGAGTGACATGAGCGTGGGGAGATGAGCGGGGGCCAAGGCTCCCAGTTTTTCATCAGTAAAATAAAATCACATACAAGTTCATATTGTTTGGACCTGTCTCCTCCTGTTTACCTTTGTTTCACTGCTCCCTGCACACTTTGTGTTCAATCTCCAAAAATGCTGAACTAACAGCATTTCTAGTGAGCACCCCTGGTTGTTTCATCACTCGGGGTCTGTGAGCAGCCCATTCCCTCTGCAGGACTTACCTTCCCTCTTGCACTTTGTAACTCCTGTTAATACCCTAGTCCACTGGGCCCACTCCTACCCACCCTTTCCATGCCAATCCCAACAGCTGCTCCGCCAGGAGGCCTTCCCTGCACCCCATCACCTCCACCCACTCCTTATAACTGTAGTGCTCACAGGTCTCTGCGTCTATATTCAAGAGCACAAGAAATAAAACTGTATTTTTCTATAACTCAAGTCACATTATGTTCTGCATTCCTTTGGCTATGGGTCAAAATTTTAATTTGTGTAAATTTAGGTTCTCTGTCTTCACCTAACTTTGTAGCCAGGTTCCAGGGAGAAATTTACCGCTGAGCTATCAAGAGGGAGGTGGGAGAGAAGCAGCCATCCCATAGGGCCATCGTTCCTCCCCTCTAGCTTCTGCTATAACATCCAGACTCCACCTGGCCTGAGGTTACCAGCTTGAAGATGACTCCGAGTTGCACCTCAGCCTTAACTACAGTTGTCTTTAGATCCAGCTCTTTCTCTCTCGGCTGTTTTCAGAGTCCAGTGCAGGGTTTCATTATTAGGTTATCCACCTGGGTGACTCTTCTCCAAGATGTGTCTCAGGGAATCAGGCTTTTTCTACTCAGCAGCTCTGACCATCTTTTCCGTTATTGTGTGTTCTCAAGACCTCAGATACAAAGGAAAGGAAGAGCATGGAGAAGGCACACCTACTTGTGAATGTTTCAGCCTGCAAGTGATCCATCGTTTCCTCTGACATGCCATGGCCAAAAGCTGGACACATGGCCCCCATCTAGATTCAGGGGGACTGGGAAATACAGTTTTAGCTGTGTGCCCAGAAAAGGGAGATAGATGTTGTGAACACTGAGCCAATATCTGGTATAGTATGTATTTAAACATCCAGATGCAATAGGCCACTCACCTTAAAAAGTAGTGAAAGGTACTAATATAGTTCTTAAACTGGAAACAAAACCACATGCTCTGCATACTCAGCGCTACTGTGTGTATTATCTTGTCCTTAGACTATTTAAACAATCTCCTAACTGGTCTCCCTGCCTCCACCATGGCCTCCTCCAATCATCTGAGACCACAGCAATCATCCCAAAATAAAAATCTGCTGTTGGGTAGATGATAACTCCCCAGCGATTCCCCAGGTCCCATAGGTATGACCTGATTCCCTAGGCCCATCCCTCCACTTCCATGACCATCTTGCACTTGATAATCCATCAAAACTGAACTCCCCCCCCTCTGGAAAATCCTTTCCTCTGGTCAATAACTATCATTCTTCAAGATTTAGTTCAACCTTGAAGTTCTCTGTGAAGCCTTCAGCCCAAACAGAGTGACACAGTCGCCTTTGTGGCCAAGCCATCTCTCTTTGCCCACTGTTTTTTTTTTACAGCATTTACCAACATATATGACTTGTTTATATGCCTGCCTTCTCCATTTGACAGTGGTGTCCTTGAAAACAAGAACAGCTTCTCCTTCAACTTTGTGTCTTTAATACCAAGCACGGTTTCTGGTCCATTATAGTTATTGCTCGATAAATGTTCATTGAATTGAATTAAGCTCACTGTGTGTAGGCTGAAATGCACACACTTCTGTAGCTGTTGTTTCACTAGCCTTCTGATTCCTTAAGAAATGAAGGATGAGATGTGGAAATACATCGCATGTGCTCTAAATATCTTTACCAATCAAAATATCTCATCTTACAAGAACTTGGAAACAAAAAGAACAGTGTACTGCACAGAAAATGAAGTGAGGTCTTGGGTTAAATTTATTCTCTTTTCTAGTGAAAAGAGGTCACACAGGTATAGAGTGGATA